ATGGTCATACGTTTTTGGAAAATTGGTATCTCGTTTCGACCTTCTCGGTTAGCAAAGGCCACAATTATTTTGTCACCATATTTATGCCCCACCCTGCAGAACGTTTAAACAGGTAAAACAGCAAATGACACAGAATCATAGTTTTTCTGTCACCCCTTTGAGTAGTGCGTCAGAAACTTTAACATTATAGTTATTGGAAGGCAGATTTGAACATTGCTTTGCAACCCTATGACTAAGGTACATAAGCCTTCAAGAATAGAAGCTTGACTTGTGAAAAAATTGGACCAGAAACAAGGATAACGCAATGTCCCTTGGTGTGCTGCTCAGTTAGTCACGTACAATTACTGGTAATGAGTTACACTTCACTCCTAGATGTTAAAACTGCACCCCGACCACACCAAAACCCTCGTGATTTGGTGTACCTGCACCTGAACCAGCCGCTAGCATTCTCACAGAAAGAGTATGAAAGAGTTTTGAAAACATTTACGGAGCGCATACATGTAGATTACGACAACAACACCAGCCTGGAAATCGCAACACGTGGGCGGTAGGAAGTGAAAGGCGAGGAGGTGCGGGGTCGACTACCGGTTTTGTGCCATGGGAGCCGCTCTCAACAATACCACGTCGGGTCGCGCCAACCTTACATTCATCAAATGCCCCTTTCGTGAAAAATGACATCGATTAACAATTTTCTGAAACTCAAGCTATTTTACATGTGAGTATTTGTAGTCGTTATTTTGTTGAATCCAAAACAAAGCGGAATCCGATATCATGAAGTACGGAGGAATTTGGTAAGGCAAGGTGCCGTCGATAAGGTTGGAGACAGGCCACGAGATCAACTTTTTTCAGAGAGACAGAAGCTTTTTTCTATGTAGTAAAGCGGCACTACTACGCTTTTTTATACACTGCGTTTCATAATTATAGGTCCACCCTAAATTTTTGCTATTCCAAAGTTGCTGTGCATTTTTGGAAAATGCCGCTATTACCAATAGTTTCCCCATAACGAAAAACCTTGATACTTGATTTCTGGAGAAATCTCGATTCAGAATTATTAAAATATCTTCCTTAGAACGTATTTTCACCGTTTCGCAAATATGACTACACATCACTTGTCGAGAGATTTTACTATAACGAAAAAACGTCACGAATTTTCAATAATGGGATGGTCCTCCCAATAATCATAAGGAACACAATAATACGTTTTGGAAATGCTGGTAACCAAATTAGCTATTACAGTAGGATCGAAATTTCTCGCCGATGATCGACGTTTTCAGCTCTTCGGCTGTTC